TATGTATTTATTTATTTATTTATTTTTCAACACATATTTGGGCACCTATCCTGGCAGTCCCTACTCTCCTCTAGGCAAAGTTTGGAAAAATGTACATCAAGTTAATAAGAACTTACTTTTGGGGAGGAGGATTGGTAGGGTGAAGGTTACTTACACTTCTGTATTGACATATTTTTTAATAACTATATTAATGATATAGTTTAATATAGTTCATCTGTTTCCTGGTCGATGGAAATTTAAGTTTACCCAGTTTTTCACTGTTAGAACAAGTCTGATAAACATACTTATTAATATCTTGTAGACATGTGCAGGAGTTTCTCTACCTCTTTTTCTTCAGGGGCCAGATAGTAAATATTTTATACATTGTGTGCTATATAGTCTCTGTCACCACTACTCAACTCTGCCTTTGTAGGAAAATCCCAACTGTTGCTTACTGTATGTAAGCAAATGGGCATGGCTGTGTATCAATTAAACTTAATTCACAAAAATGGATGGTAGCAGGCCCTGATTTGCTGACTTCTGCTCTAGGGTAAATATCTAAAAGCATAACTGCTGCCCATTATGTATGAATATTTTGAACTAATGTTTGCCAAATTGCACTCAAAATTACTTTATCGATTTACATTTCTACTCGTAGTATGTGAGAATTCCTGTTTCTTCTGCAGGTCTTCTCCAGCACTTGTGAGTCGCACTTTATAATTAGCAGCCATTAGACAGTGAAACATTATCTTGTCATTTAGTTTGTACTTCCTTGAATACTACTGAAGTTGAATCTTTTCATATGTTTATTAGACTTTTGGGTTTTCTTTCTATTCATATGTTTGTCCATTTTCTATTATGTTAAAATGTCTTTTATATTTGAGAGATGTTTTAATATTCTCATGATACCAATCTGTTATAGATAATACACATCACAACCCTTTCCCTCCAAAACTGTTACTTATTTTAGCTTCGTGATAAAAATTAGTTTTTACGGTAACGCTAAATTAATTATATTGTCATATTTGTGCTTTCTATGACCTGTTTATACATCTTTTCCTATTCTGAAATCATTAAGGCACCCTCCTAATGCTTCTGATAGTTTTAATGTTTTATTTTTACAATTAGGCCTTTAATTCATCTCAAATTTTCTATTATGTATGTTTTGGGGTTAGGGATCTAATTTATGTACACACACACATTTTAAAACTATGTATAAATAATTATTTAATTTAAAATATTTAATTTATATAAATCAGTATATCATTCATTTAATTAATATTTACTGTTTAAAGATATAATATAAACTATAGTATTGTTCATGATTATTACTATATTATGTAATATATGGACACAGATACATGCATATGTACATTGTAACTAACTTTCTCATCATTCATTGGATTCTCCACTATTTCCCATCGATTAGTAATGCCATCTCTGGTATATGCTAAGTTGATATTTTCTGAATATTTCTGAACTCTATTTCACTAGTCTGTTTGAGTTTCTCTATGCCTGTACTGATACCACACATTTATTTTATTTGCTGTAGTTTTATAAATTTTGGTACCTGGGAGGATAAGTCTTCCTTATTTTTGTTTTTTAAAATGTTGTTATATTCTGTCTTATTACCCTTCCATTTGAAATTTCATACCAGCTTGTCTAATTCAAAGAAAAGCCTTTTGGGCTTTTGATTAGAATTACATTGAATATATAAATGAATTTGAGGGGAATTTATATCTTTTCAATATTGACTCTTCTTGGTTGAAAGGGCGGACTTGAGCCAGACCTCCTGGCTTCTAATCTTAGACCTGTTTACCAGCACTGTGGCCTTGGGTAAACTTTCTTTTTGCCTCGTTTTTCTCATAGGTAAAATACAGATAATGATAAACTGTAAATAATGTGAGGATTAAATGAGTTAGTATCTGTCAGAGCACTTAGAATCTGGCATATCATAAACACTCAGTAAATATTAAGTATTGTTATTAAATTTATATCTCTATTCATTTAGGTCTTATTTTATGTCCTTCAGTACACTTCTGTAATATTCTTCATAAAGCTATTATACATCTTTTTTTAATATTTATTTCAGGTTATCTTACATTTTCTGTTGCTACGTGAATGGGATTTTCTTTAATTATATTACTAAATTACATTTAAGTAATAAGTGTCCAGTAGTCTTCCTGAACTTTTATTAGATTGTCTCAGTAATTTACGGTTTTTTTAAATTTTTCCATATAAACTGTATATTATTTGCAAATAATGGCAATTTGTTTATCTTTTTCCAGTCCTTTGTTTTTTCTTTGCATTGTGTAAGAACTCAAATACATCTTTAAATACAAAGCAGTGATATTGGTCTTCTTGGTCTTGTCTTGACTTTAAAGGGGAATTCTTCTGTAATTTCACTTAGAAGTTTGTTGTTTACACAAGGTTTTTAATAGATACCCTTTATCAAGTTAATTTATCTTCTATTCCTAATTTGTTGAGAGATATCCTGAATCTGTATTGAACTGTATTACTACTATAATTTTTTAAAATCTTATCTTTCAGAAGTAATACCAACTCCATACTCCTGAACAATTAAGCATGTTTTATTAAACATCATTTAGTAAATATTCAAGATTGTTATATAGAAAATAAAAGAAATACTACTGCCTTCTTCAATTTTCATGTTGAGAAACAGAAGCCCAGGGGTTGTCATGTGAGAAATCATCTACCTCAGAGGACATTAAGACGTAGGCTTGACTTCAGGATTTAGTGACATATTGGTAATACAAAAATGTAGTATCGTGAGAGGAATATTAGATATCACTTCCTATTTTCATCCTCTAAAGATTAAAAATTTTAATTTAAGGCCTTATTGGCAGAGAGGTACTCGTTACATAGAGAAAGGGGAAAACAGTCAAATATTACAAAACCAGTAGTTTCGTGTAGTTTGGTTGTTTCTGTAAAACCAGGAAATATTTACCATATGATTGTGGAAGTGATCATCTTTGTAGTGATCACTCATCTTTGTGAAAGCTACCAAAATTACAGGCATTTCTCATTCAGCGTGTTTTCATGATATAAATTAGACTTGGTAGGATTTGTTAATTAGAGAATATTATTTACCTTAAGTTAACTATTTTCAGAACCATGATAAGAGAATCAGCATAGTTATAGTGTTACAAAGGCAGGTGGGAAGGGAGCCAGGAAGGAAGGATTCTTTTTAGGGGGGTGGGAGGGAGCACAACTTCTTTGAGCTTTTTGTTTATCATAACATTGGATGATAGCAGCAGTAAGCGTTTTTACTATGGTAATAAAACTCAGGAGGATTTTTTTATTTAAGGAAAATTAGATATGCTCACAGGGGAGATTTTATATGTAAGTTTTATAGTGATATATACTTAAAGCTATTTGTTACAGTATTTTTATTATTTATCAACTGGGGTATACATGCTCAGTAATCTTTTACTGATGGTGCACATAATCAAAAAAAGTTCGGAAATAACTCAGTCTAGCTTCTAACATTTTTCCACCATTAAAACAGTTACTCTTATAATACAGTTTTCGTTACTTCAATAGTAGGATGTCAACTGTAGAATTATTGCAGAAAATGAACAACATTGGCAGTACTTGTTTTTAAAACCTATGTGTTTGATTTGTCATAAAGCTAATTAAAAATAATTTCAGTTGACAGGGTTTTTATATACAAGTGTTTGGTTTTCTCACTTCCAGTAGTATTTATAAAAATTAAAGCAAAACCTTCCTTTTTCTAAAAGCACTTTTTTCACAGTTTCCGTTCCATATTGTTTGATCTGTAGTTACTGCTTTCTCTTCACTTGATGGTCTCAGGATAGGGGTAAGCAAACTCTGCCATCACTGTGATCCCAGTGGTGGGAATAAAAGTTTAGCTGCAGCAGGTGTTCAGGGAAGCTAAATCTGGAAGTACTACGGATTTTTAATAGAAATAGCTTTCGGGAAGGTTAATCCTGCTGTTGAAACCCTGATACTTATTAAAACAAATCAGAGCTCTTTCCCTTTATAGGCATACCATGCTTTATATAAATCTGTTACTTTACACTGATATCTAGATTAAAATAAAAGATTAAATTCAGGTATAATTATCTGTTTGTTAAAATATTTTTTGAGAATAACTTTTAAATGCCAATTTCCATACTATATACATCATACAACTTGATATCTGACATATTTGTAAGGACACATGCATTTAAAAAATTGAACTGATCCCAGTGTCATTGATGTGTATATATACATCTGTAATTTCTTCTTTAAGAATAGTTTGGCATAACCCTTAGCTGTTAAGTGGTAGACATAGTATGATGTATGATTATTTACACTTATGTTTTTAATAAAAATCTAATTTGGTCTCATTTTATTTTAGCGAAGAGTAACCAGAATTCAGCAAATAGAGAAGGACATACTTCGTATACGACAGCTTTTACAGTCCCAAGCAACAGAAGCAGAGGTTAGTAAATTGTCTTTATTGTTTGCAAGTGTAAATAGGTATAATTAATGTGGCACTGTTGAAATATAGGTGTTTGTAAGTTTTTTCCTTAAAATTAAATTATCAAAAACCTTGACTACTCTGATTTCTTCATAACTTTTAGGCAATTAAAAGTTATAGAACGATAAATACAGATACCTTCTTTCAGTTGTCAATTTAAATATAATCAGGTAGCTAATTTAATTTGGGTATTATCAACTAGTAAATAAGCTATTTCCTTGTATGTAATCCACAGTAAAATTAATCATACACATTTATGTGTATGTGGAGTAAGTATGCTTACTCCACAAACCTCATTAAAATGACACTAAAAGGATAAAATGAAGAAAGCACAAAGACCAGAGGAAGTGACATCAGTAAAATTTGGGGAGCTGGAAAACAGGTAAACAAATGCACTATTCTAGCATATGGTAGAGAATTGACCCCAAGTCAGCAGTAGGAAGTCATGAAGCCACTTCTTTTATACTGTGGAGTCCTAAAAGGTTCCAGAATTGGTTATATTAGTTGCCTCTGCATATGAGGATAATGAAGGGGGCTAAAAGCAGGAGGATGATTGAAAATTTGTTCAGCAGGTGGAGCCCCCAGAACCTCCCTTCAGCTCTGCATAGCTGGGTGACTTCTCTTTTCCATTCCCAGCAAAAGATGAGAGATTTATTCCTGAAAAGGTAAAACAAAGGGTCTTTAGGTATTATTAAGTCCAATGTAATTCAAGTTGGGCATACCATGCTAAAAACTAAATTAAGTGAAATTTACTTACTGAATGCTGAAACCCTCACTGCCATCCAGGTTTATAATACAGGCAAGTTTCTGGAAGCTGCCTCTTTAAAAATGTGACTAACCCAAGAAAAAAAGACATAAAGATACTGATACTGGCAGATTCCCCAATAAAACAACCCCGCTGGACCACCCTACAGGATAGCTATAGTTGACAAACTCCATCCCTCAGGGATAGAGCTTCATTTAACTTTTTCACCCTTAAATATGGATGGACAACTAAAGACCACCAGACATTTTAAGTTTCTAATAAGAAATATTTAATAAAGATAGATACTATGCAAGAAGAAGAAAACTTTAAAAAATAAAGCTAACATTAATATTTTCGAATAAAAGATAATACATCCAAAAAGCAAGAAAACTATAATGTACAAAAGGAACATTCAGAAAATTGAAAGACTTCTTGGAAGTTAACATTGTGATCACAGAAATGAAAAACTCATTTCTAGAAAGGTTAAAAATTTCTCAGAAAATAAAACAAAAGGCAATAAGATGGAAAATAGAAAGGGTGAGAAAATCAGAGAATCAGTCTAGGAGGGTTCAATATCCAAATATAAAGGAGTTGCAGAGAGAATGGAGAAACTAACGGGAGGAAATCTTAAGAAATAAATCAAAATTCCCCAGAACTGAGGGACATAGTTTTCCAAATAAAATGGTCTCTCCAAGGGCCATCCAAATGACTCAGTTGATTAAGAGCTTGCTCAAGAGTTGGAGCTCTGGGGCTGGCCAAGTGGCGCATTGGTTAAGAGCTGGCTTGGGACGCCAGAGGGCCCCTGTTCGGATCCCACATATGAGGGCCAGTGACACTGCCCTCTACAGCTAAGATGCTGAACAACAGCTCAACCTGGAGCTGGGTTGCCGTGAGTTGCCGGCAACGGTGTAGGCTGCAGCCCCTGCTGCAGTGGGTTGCCATGGGCTACCGTGTGTAGCCAGCAGTCAGCGTGAGCGGCCCTCAAGCCGCCGTGAGCTGCTGTCCAGAAGCCGGTGACTGATATGCCTCGCCTGGGAAGAGTGCAATGATGGTGCCAACTTGGGCCAGTGAAGCAACGTCCTCCACAACTAGACTGAAGAACAAAACAACAGCAACTTGTCTGTTCCCCTTTCCCCAATTCCCCAGCACTGTTCCCATCCCCCAATTCCCCAATAAAAATCTTAAAAAAAAAAAATTCTAAAAAAAAAAAAAAAGAGTTTGAGCTCTGAGCAACAGCGGTTCAATTCCCGGCCTGAGCTGAGCTGCCAACAGATGGCAGGATGGCTCCGCTAAAAAAAAGAAAAAATGGTCTCTCCATCATCTAGCACCACAGATGAAAACAATTCCACACTAGACACATCATGATAAAATTTCATCTCACTAGGGATAAAGAGAAAATTCCAGCACCTTCTAGAGAAGGTGAGAAAAACAAATTTTGCATAAATGTCTTTAGATATATAAACAGCAACACTGGAAGCTGTGGAGTAGCAGTTTCTTAAAACTTCTGAAAGAAAATTATTTCCAGCTATGTTCAACATCAGTTCTCTGACATAACTGGGTATCCTACAATTCAATTCTGATACTAAATGCCCAGAGTTACTGTGGACTCTACATTTAAGGATAAAATCATTTACAAGACTGCCCTCACTTCAGGAGCCAGCTACAAGTTTTAGGGTGTCCCCAAGCCACCTGCACTCTGCCCAGCTTGCTATAAGTTCCACCCCAAATGGATATACTATAGTATAATTCAATTTGGAGTTAGCATAGACCCTACAGGTTAAAGGCAGAGTCCTTCACCAGACTGCCCCCATTTCAGACACCAGGCCACCCAAACTTCTGCCCAGCTGGCTACAAATTTGGGGCTTCCCACAACCCCTGTAGTTTCGATAAGTCTCCAGAATGACTCAAACTTACTGAAAGTACTGCACTTACAATGACACGTTTATTATAAAGGATGCAGATCAGGAACAGCCAAATGAAGAAACATAAAGGGCAAGACCTGGAGAAGGTGAGGAATGGAGGATGCAGAGATGCTCTGTCCTTTTGTAACCTGGACACATCACTCTCCCAAGCACATCAGTGTTTTCATCAACCAGGAAGCTTCAGTGAGCTTTGGTGTCCAGAGTTTCTATTGGCGTTTCATTATGTAAGCATGCTTGGTTAAATAAGTGGATATATGATGGAACTAAATTTCCAGCCCCCTCCCCTCCCTGGAGGCCAGTCTGGCCCACAGTTCAAACTCTCTGGTCACATGGTTGGCCTTTTTGGTGACCAACACCATCCTGAAGTTACCTAGGTGCCCTCCGTGAGTCACCTGATTTACACAACAGACTCAATAAGTTCCAAAGTTTTTGAAGTTCTATACAAGGAACAAAGGGACAAAGACCGAGTATATTTTTTATTATACCATACCAGGCCATAAGTTTACCTCTAGTCGAACTGCCTATTAAATTTGAAAATAGAATATATTTTCAGGTAGGCAAAATCTCAAAAATATGTATTTTTTATATACTGTTTTCTGGAAGCAATTAGAGGATATATTTAAACTAAATGAAAATGTAAAGCAAGAAAAATGAAGATTTGGGATCCAAGACATAGGGAATACAATATAAAAGAAAGAGATGAAAGACTCCCCAGAATGAAGATGAAGGGAGATTATAAGACAGATTAAGTAACTAGTCCATATTGGAACAATTGAGAAGATTTTAGGAGAGATGAGTCTAAGAAGATGAAATCAGTAGACTACTTATAATGTTTTTGAATTTATTGAAAGGAAAGTATATTTACACAGTAGGAGAGAAACATGTCATAAATACACAACACCAAATACACAAAGCAAAAATGATAGCCTTTAGCACCATGGACAGCAAGAAGTTACTGAAAAGGAAAACAACCACAATATAACACCTATCAGCCATGATTAGAATTTAATAGTTAAAAAATAGTTAAGATAATGTAAATGAAAAATGTAATGATAAAGCAATATTTGAAGGATGGAGGAACAGGATGAGTGTGTGGGATAGTGGTAAAAGAAAACCTAGTCCTCATATAATAGGAAATCAGTAAATTATGCATTAAGCTGAAAGTTGCAGAGCTAGCGATACAAGCAGGTTATTTAGAGATAGATAAGTGTGTCCACCACCACCCTCACCATCCTCCCCCCCAAAAAAAATTCCTCTGAAAGAGCTGAAAATGTTCTTTAGAGAATAAGAAATGGGACAGAGCCGGCAGGTGTGAGAGACCACAGTTTATTATCATGAGCCTTTAGAACTAATGATTATTTAAATGTGTAACTGATAAAATGGAAACACTTAAAAGATTTAAAGCCATAATTTAGATGTTTATACTTATCTTCCTCTACAATCCAGATTAGTTTAATAATTATGTCTTGATAACGATTAGTAAAGAACTTGAGAGGAGCTTGGGGACAGCTAAAACATTAGAAGCAGCACGTGCTAGGAAAAGTCCTGTTTAATATACTGTCTCTGAGTACAGGACCAAGCAGTGGGAGTAAGAGGAAGGTACTGTTTCAGTGGAACACAAATACAGTATATTCATACCACTAGAAACTGAATATTACTGAGGCTTGTGCATAGCTGTCAGCCCTGCAACCAAATATCTGAAATTCAGTTTTGATCACCGTACAGAAGAGTGGAGTGTAAGTTAACACCATCCCCTCACCTGTCTGTTGACAGCCAATGAATTTGGACACTTCTCACCTTGTTTATAGGTGAGTAAAAAGAAAACCTACAAAGTAAACCATCACTGAATAAGGAAAAGAGAGTAGCATCTGGAAGTCTTGAGGAAGATAAATTTCAGGAAAGTATTTGTTCCTTAAGTCAACTACAGGAAGACCTGTCTCTGCAGCAGGAGTGGAGTCCTAAGGACTAGAATGAAATGGCATCAGGATGAAAAATAAAGGAAAATGAGTAAAGAAGGACTACGGGATTTTTTTTTAAAGCTAACTAAAAACCCACGTTGAACAATAAAGAGCAGAATTGTTGCTAGGAAAAATTGACTCAGTATTTGAGGACAGACTTGAGAAGCATCAGTGGAAAGTTTCAAATACACAGCCAGATAGACTCAACATCCCAGACCTAATGGGG